TTTTTAATAAGGCGTCAGATAATCGCAAAGCTCTCTAATTAATAGCGAGGCAGGTGCTCACGACTGTCAAAATTCAAATGAAAACTCTCACGAGTGTAAAAATAGGGGTCTTGCTGTAAAATACATACGTTTCTTTCTAGCCTGTGCGCTCATTGTCGCTGTGAAAAGTCACAAAATTTTAATTTCTTAAAGTTTTTCCTCATCTGTGGTTCTTGGCAGGATCGATTTACTTGTAAATAATTTTTTCCTCCTACGGGCGTCACCTGCAAATTAAATTAAATTCGATACAATTATCATTTTTCAATTTCCTGCGGCACCCATGTAATCATTCTCGCGCACAGCCTCAAGTATTCAATGGACACTTACATTTTTTCACCTTTTCCGCGAAGACGATTTGGGCAGCTGTGTAATTTTTGTGGCTGCGTGACCGCAGAATGTTGCTGGGAGGGGTGAATTTTGTTCTAGCCTTTTTTTACTTAAAGTGACTAATATGATTTTTCCTGTCTTTATCTATTTTTTATGGTAATAAAATAAGTATTTGAAGGTATTAGCAATAAAGTGTTAATGTAAAATGTTCAATTTTCATTATTGTCAAGAAATACAAGCGTCTAAATTAGAAATAAATAAATAGACTGAAATAAAATTAAAACGGAAAGTAACATAATTTTTAGTTAATTTACTAGTAATTAATTTCTATTTGTAAAAAGCAGATTAAAATATTAATTTAATAACATAATATTATAATATAATAATAATTTTTATTATTTTAAATATTATTTACTATGTTTTTATTTTCATTTAAGCTTGCATTTGCAACAGACAAAAGACAAAAGATTGTTAGTGCTATTTACTAGAATAATAATATAATCAAATAACCCAGTCTCGCACATTTTATACAGAATTTATTATAACCAAATATCTTAAGCAGATTAATAACATCTACGTTAAATAATTGTATCTTATAAGTTGCTAAAGAACATTTTTTAAATCAAAATATAACATCGGTTGTACCAGTGGGAATATAATCAAATTAAAATGATACTTTGCATTCCTTATATAGATGTTGATAAAATAATATTCAACTAAGCAAGCTCACAGGCTTTAAAAGCAAATTTCATTTTCATACTCACTGAAATCAAAACTTGCTCTTACTTGCTGCCGTAGGCGTCGACAATAGTCGTTGATTTTCAAAGCACAAGACTTCCGTGTATGAAATTAAAATCAATATTTGTGCACAGCCGAAATGCGCGGTGTGTGGGAGCCGTGCGGGTGTAATCGACGGTCCTGTTATATCACACAGCAGCAGATCGAGCCGGACATTGCATGTGTGCAGTGTCATAAGCCAGTGAGCATTCACAGGCCCAGAGCGCCCACGCCGGCCGGCCAATCTAGCGAGTTGCATTATTATTGTGATTTATTTTTCTTCATATTTGCGGTTTGGCACGGCGTCTATTGATTCGCATCTACCGTTTTTCTTTCTCTCTGCGGCTTGTGTATATCTTTTCGTTTTTTTTTTAGTCAGACGCGCGAATTATTGAGAGTTAGTTTTCGATTCGGCCAGCGGCGGCCAGAGAGATCAACGTCCTCGGGATTCTTTCGCACACGCAGATGCTCCGACCTTCCAAGGATGCGGCCTTCTCATCTCGTCGCAGCCAAACACAAATAATCAGCGGCCAACAAAGGCGCGCGCTAGAGAGAGAGAAACTCATTTTCGCCGCGGGCCAGCCTTTAATCAAAACACCTTTCTTTCTTCATCTCCTTTTCCTTCTTGGACTGACGCACCTCGTCACGTACAATGAGAAATGATAATTTGAGAGATGTGGATTGTCTGGTGATTGCCCCGCTTGCCGGCACTCAAGCGGCGCTCGTTATGGAATAATTCCAAAATGGCTCGGACCATTGCAGTCCTATTGAGAAATGCACACACAGAAAAAAACTGTCCGCTCATTTATTATGTGCTGAATCTACACATTTTTTAGTTTTTTGTCCTCATCAGAGAGTAGAAATAATTTATACCAACAGGAAGTTTGTTGCTTTACGAAGTGCCAAAATTATGATTTTTGTTTTAAAATTAAAAAAACAGCAAATTATGAAATCAATATGATTTTATTTTTATAGTAGAAAAATTTAAAATAAAAGTTTATAAAATTAAAAGTTAAATAATGCTCTATTATGTAAAAAAAATTGTATATTCTCCTAATTTATTGTTTTTATTTATTTCATTAATTTAATAAAAAATATTAAAAAAAATTTTGAGTTATTTAAAAGAAACTTGCTTTAACCCCTTATAAAATTTTTTCATCATTCTCATTTCTCATTTTTATAAATAAAATTCAATTCTGTATCTCACAGCAAAATAAATAAATTAAAAATTATTCTCCTTTGGGATTTTGTATTCATCTTTGTTCAATTGTACTTCTCATCAGGAGATTATATTCCCATCCCAATCAAAAGTGCGAAACGGAAGCTGACTTGCAATAACCGACACGCAAAAAGGTTGGACGTTAACGAGAAATTCTGCTGTAAACTTAAAATAAATAAATAAATGAAGTCAATTATGTATTATTATACATCCGTCTCGATTATCAAGACAAAAAACTAAAGCAATAAATATGCGCATACACGATCGTCTCGCTTTGAGATTTCCCCGTTTCTTAACTTTCAAATGTGCCGGGTAAAAAAGACACACAATTACATGCAAGCAAAAAATACTCTCAACAGCTGTCGAATTTATCCACAACCCCGTTCGGGGCGTTGACCATCAGCGAATTATTTGTGCTGTGATTGCGCTCCGAAGAATTATTATTATCGCCAAGTTGTTGACGTCCTGCTGGGTGATGAATAAAAAATCTGATTAAATTCACCAAGGGTCTTTCGGTGCCGAATAATGAGCCTTGTATATTTTAGTTTGAGCAGCTTTGGAAAAAAAGAATCGGCTCGAGCTCGCACACATAATTACATCCCTGGCCGCGGCAAGTAATAAATTGCTTACGCGGAAAATAATTTCGAGCGGCGGCGCCGGTGCACACAAACGTAATGATATGCCCTTTTTAGCAAATGATTCTTAATGACTCACTCTAAGTGATGGTTTAAATCGAAAGTTGTAATTTTTCTGATCTGCAGAACTGGTTTTTATTTGGAACAAAGAATAGAAAAATCATAAATTAATACTAACATGGGAGGTTCAAGGATGCTAATGCGTTTGTGGTTCGTTTCAGTGGAATCGTTCATATTTGATTAGACGTTTTCGCATTAATTGTATAATAGCACCGACCTATAAGATAGGATAATCGGTGATTATGCTATTAACAGATTAAGAAAACGATCTGCGATTTTTTTTAATTAACTTGTTTGTTGAGGTTTGCAGGGATAATCGGCATCATTCACAAATCAGACTGCTTATTTCAGTGCTTTTTTACTGCTGTTCATAAGTTCATCTGAAGCAATTTAATTAAAATATTAATATTTTCATAGTAAATAATCTAAAAATGGAATTACATGGATATTGGCTAAAATTTAGGAAAATTCTATAATTAAAATTTGTAGTGAGAAACGAAGTTATGTATTTTTGCCTGAAGAGACGGGGATAAAAAGAATAGTTATTCAGCTTTGAAAAAAAGGTGGCAAATAGTATCAATAATTTTTGCTTTAATTTCAAATTTTTTCTATAAGCACTTTTGCCAATCTTGTTATATTACATTTAAAACCAGCTCTTTTTATACTTCCTGCATTCCTCGGTCTTAAAATAGAATTAAACTTTTGGCGTCTTTTTTGCTTTGAGAGATGGACGGCGACGCTATATATTTACTCTCCATTATTTCAAACCAGCTGAGGACAGAAGAGTATAAAAAAAAATACAATTTTCTCCTAAGAAAGAGTCACTGTCGAGATGATGGACCTGTTGACTTAATCATTGTGGAAGGAATCTCTTTGCTCTGCGCGAGTTCTGAGAAGCTAAAACCGAAAGGAGATTAGCAAACTGTAATAAGAAACTCGTGCTCTAGGACGCGTAATCGCCTTAAACGTCACAAAAGATCAAAAATTGTTGCTCTGCGACCGCAGAATTGCTATTTAACTTGTTGACACCCCACTTGTTGTGCGAAATGGAATTTTTATATACTCGAGTTTATTTTTCCAACGAGTCATTTTGTATAACAGTGAATCCGCTTCATTGTGTTTGGAGCTGCACACAACACAACAGCGTGCAGTCCCTAAATTGGCCGCTGCTGAGCGAGATGATGGACCAAATATGAACGCGCACACACGCCGAAATTGACAGTCACTTTCTTCCGCTTCACTTTTATCCGCGCGCGGTGCTTTTCAAGTGCCGTTAATTTGCGTCTGGAAAAAGAGATTAATTCGGTTAGGCTGCGGAGACACGCACAACATCTGTGTAATTCTGCGCACCGGTGGATGCACTTGATAGGCTTTTCATAGAACTGATTAAGATGCTCACGGCTCGCGGGCCATTTACCTTGCATATTTGGGCAAATAATAATTTTCGAGAATAAAAACACTAAAAAAATTAAGAAGTTCAGATTTTTGAAACCTCACCTTAAAATATTTATCAGGTACGAAGCCATAACCTGCACTTTATTTCAACTTCAAGCAATATCGACAAGCAAACTTGCGAGCGCCTGGCCATTTATGCAACCGGCAGCACTTGCTTGCTTTCATGCAAGAAATACAGAATTCGATGCAAGCATTCTTTTTTAATATATTCAACATGATTTAAAATTTAGTTAAATTTGTTTCTTTTTATAATTACAAAATAAATAATATATATAAATGGATTGAAATTTTTAATTTATTCATTTTTTAAATGGAGTCGCAAATTTTACCACTTCATTTTTCTTCTTGTAACTATATTATAGAATTGAAGAAACTTTTTCTTATTCTGAAATTCACTAATTTATTCATACTTCATATTAAAGTACTTAATTAATTTATTATTCTATTTCATTCAATTAATAACGATCGATATTATTTTATTTTTCCAGATGACGTCCTTCAGCACCTTTGCGACGTTGCTGTGTCTCTCCCTGTTTGTCCTTCTCGTGTCCAGTGCCCCTCTGAACACGAAAGAAGACACCCCTGATCCGGTGGCCAGCACCAGCAGTCGCTCCAAAGGTTCTTCGAGGAGCGCCAGGTACCTCGGCTCGTCGTGGTTCGACTTTCTGACGCCAGGGGGCTTCCAAGAGCAGATCCTTCCCAGGGCCGCCGAAGAAGACACCTCTTCCAACAACCAGCCCGACTCGCCCATTTACTACATCCGACTGCCGGCCAACCCTTACGTCTACATGCCAGGCATGGGCTACGTGAGCCGCCCTGCCCCCGTGCAGACCCCCGTGGCCAGTCCTCCCCCCGTCATCCCCCCACCCGTCAGGAGGCCCAGTCCCTTCTACCAGCTTCCGCTAGATTTCGTTTCTAATGGCAAGCCTGGCAGCACCGTCCAGATCTGGCCCAGGGACCCCGTCCCCACCACCACCACCACGACTACGACCACCCCTCCTCCTCGTCCCCCTCCCGTCATCAAACCCTTCAACCCCACCAACATCAACCGACTGCCAGGTCCGTTCTTCTTCAACGGCAAGCCCAGCGGCTTCTACATTTTGCAGCAGGACCCTTACAACTCCCTGTACGCGGACGTGTTGCACAATTTCTACCCCTAAGAAAAGCGCAAGAAGGTGGGAAGCACCGCTTCGGACTGAAAGTTTTTAATCCAAGCCACAAGCTGTGATTGCCGCGCTAAGTGTTATTTAAAACAAAAATAAAGCAGTTCACGCAGGGGACGATGACAATGAAGTGTGTCACAAAATGAGACGCGATTCAAAACTATTTAGTAATTTTTCTATAAAAAAAAACTTATTTTTTGCTTCATAAGTTATTTACCCTATTAAAAGCACTAGTTTTTAGCAATTAATTGAAGCCATGTGAGAGCAAGAGTCGATGTGATCCTTTGTAAATTAATGCTTGATTGTAATGCCTGTGCAGCGAGTGAACGCCAAAAATGCTTAAAAATAACCTAATAATTAGCGTAGGTATAGAATATTATTTATAATTAATATGTTCTATATTTAAGACGAGTCGCAATGCAACGTGAGGAGTTACGAGAACTTACTTAAAAATAAATTATTTTGATTTGTTTGACTGTGCTGCATGAAGCGATTGATGAAAGTGTACATGGATTATTTAAGATTGTCAAACTTTTTAATAAAGAAATTGAAAAAAAAACGCAACTGATACATTATTATTATTATTAGAAACACCTTACAAAAGAAATAAAAAAACAACATAAATAAATAGCTCATAGAGTGTTTTGAAGACTGAATAAATGACAAAAAATGTTCAAGTAAAGAATAACAAGAATAAATATTATAAATTAAATATTGTTAATAATTTCCAAAATAATTTTACAATGAAGAAACAAAAATGAATCGTCTGATAGACTGTCAAATAAAATGAAAGATAACTCCGTTTTGTTTATTTTGCTTTATTTGTTAAAAATTACAAATTACTACTTGGCAAGAAAAATGAAACATATAGACAGAATTGTGTGTTATGAAAGAGTTACATGAAATTAAAAGTAATGAGAGTACAGAAGTCACCTTAAAAAACATCTAGTACAACCTGATACATATGAATATGAATTTTTGTTTATAAATTACAGTAAAAAGATTTTCAATTATTTACAAAAGACACATTCTAAAAATTCTAGATAGCAAATCTCTTTATCTCTACAGGATGCGTTTTTACTTCATAATGCAACCTGTAGAAGGCACCTGCATGCATATTATGCTGCACCGTGAAGCACGTGAGCACAGCAGGTTGCATAGCTACCAGCTACTTTTGTTCGTGTGCCGTTTTAAAATCCTGATGATTGCTACACAGAATACTCGCTCACTAGCAATGGCACAATCAAATCTCCGCGCAACTTGATATTAAATTTAGGCTTGGGAAAAGTGAATGATTTTTCTTTACACACATTCTATCAGTAACGCACATCATGTATTTAAATTATAATAAGATTTTTATTCAAAATGCCATTAAGGAATACTAATTAATTGTCATTAAGAACAAAAATGTGAAATTTGATTCACTTACTATGAATGGTTCAAAAGAGTAATAGAGGAGATCGCTTACTTTTCCCAAGTCTGTTTTCAAATCCAATCAATCTGGGCTAAACATTTATCTAGCATTTAGTCCAGAGATTCACAATTTTTATAATTCCTCAAATTTTCAGACGGAGATTTGTACTTAACTTTACCATTATTTATTTATAAGTATAAAAATGCTTTGTTTATAATTAGTCTTACTGCTAATTGCTTTGAATAGGTGCTTGAGCGCAAGAAGCCTGTTGGGTGGATTTTGTCTAAATAAATATTGTGGAAGGCGAATCGTGCTCAAGTACCGCTCTTGCCGAGGACAACCTGCTCGAGACTTAATTGATTAAGAGCTTTTAGCCACCTGTGTTTGAGTTTGAGTAAAAGTGGAGAAAAACAGAAGCCTGAATAAATAAATGGGCAAAAAGCAGCGTTTTTTCTTCTTCACTCGAGAGGTCCGTCTCAGTACTTGTTCATCTTCTTGTTGCCGGTGCCGCTGATTCTGTGGATGGGACTGTCCTCGGACGACTTCTTCCTGTACCTCTTGATTTGCACGGTGGTCTTGGCAGGGTAGTGGTCGTGGTGGGCGGTGCGCTGCTGGGCGTGTTGGTGGTCAAAACTGGAGCGCCTTCGCTGCATGTTCTTCTCAAGCTCCATGTGCTGGATCACTGGAATGTTCCAGTGGTAGACCCTGGCTGGACGACCGTTGCCGGCAAAGCTGACTGGCAGGAGACGACGAATGGCCGCATGACCTAGAATAATAAATTTTTACTTCAATTAAAATTTTTCACACTAGTATTTTAAAAAATTACCATAAAACAAAATTTGTTAACAATCAATGATATTTTTGTATAATGATAAGACGGCACTTCTTTAGAAAAATAGAAAATTATCTTATTTTCTAATTTTAAATTTTATCTGATGCTTTTTTTTAACTGAATATTAAAAGTTGAAGTAAAATAATCCATTCGCTTTGACATAAACTGTATAAAATAAAAAAAAAACTACAAATGTATAAAAATAACAATTGATCAATATTAAAATATTTAATAATTTTCTTCATTTTTAAAAAAAATTATATTGGTTTCCTAAAGAAGGACCGGCTGCTAGTGGTTTTCTGACCCAAATATTTTGAAAATCATACATATCGTTATTGGCATCAACATTATTTTAACAAACCCAAATTCCACGCATTTCATTCCTTGAGTATCATCCGGTAAAAATCGCTGAAAAATTGCACCGTTGCTAAATTTTAAATATTCCCAGCAACTTGTGTGTGAGCGTGAGCCTCTTAATCGATCGCTTTGCAGTAAAGGATTAAATGGCGCGGAACTTATCAGCGGGATCGGATGAAATAAATTCTCTTTTACGACCCGTCGCTTCGTTTAGCATACGGCTCTAGGCAAATTTTGCGAACGCGCAATTATACGTGCCAAAGAGAAGCGGATCATCTTGAAATCTTCAAAAAGACAGCTCACAGTCACGGAAGTAAAGAGCATAATTTTATTCCAATATGATTTGATTTTCAATTTTAAATTGATTAATATAATATATTTTTCTGGCTCAATTAAAAAATATTTTACTTCAATTTGCTTCTCTTAATTAAAGATCTGGTCGCGCAAATAAAATAGCTATTTAAATTACAAATTTAAACAGTTCAGGAATTAATTATTGCGAGTGTGAAGTGTGATGTAGTAAAATGACTTGCCGTGAGGTTCGTATGGGATTTTGCTGCTGAGGGAGCTGTAGTAGTGAGTACTGGCGGGCAGTTTGACGTAGTAGGTGTTGGAGTCGCCGGCGCGGCCTGCCACCGACCTCAACGGCATCAGTCCGGACGGCTTTTTGTGGTGCGAGTCTTTGCCCACGTACTTCGAGTTGAGCAACTCGATTCGCGCCTCCGACGCCAAAAGCAGGCTGCACAGTATCGAAAACAGCACCAGCATTCTGGAAACAAGCAAAATTGTTCAGATTAATATAAATTTATAAGAATTAAGAAGAGTAACATATTTTGCAAAATAAAATAAAATTTTTGCATACGAGACTACTTTCTATTTGTTTGCATAAATTATCGTGTAAAAAATATTACTATTTTTACAACTTGATTAAAAGAAAGCAAAACAGTTAATTCATAGTTTTATAAAATTTAAATTTTATGATAACTTACAAAGGTTGGAATATTTTTACACATAAATACAACTGTGTGTCACAAGAAAAGCAATTAGTGCATTATATTTAATTTTTTTCAAGTATCTAGAAAGTATTAATATGTTGATTCAAATGTGACTGATGTTTTTTAGGTTCGAAGCGAATTCCATAGAAATTATTATTTTATTAGTATTTAATGAGCGTTTTGTTCACGTTTTCTTCAAGGTTGCGGATTGCAGATGCAAATTTATGCTGACAATCGCCACTTTTGCTTTGCAGCACACGACGAGCGAACGAGAGCAAAAAGCGAAACGTGCGCCGAGACCAACATCGGCCGAGAATAACAAACGCAATCAGCATAACAAAGGGATTCGATAAAAGCAGGCCGAGCAGCATCCTGCAGGTAAATAAATCAAAGTACCCTCTCATTATGCTCGCAAAGGACATGTAATTATACGCATGTATTTTCATATGCACCGCGACTTGTCGTAAATCAGTCGCGCAATTCACCAAAGAGAAAATTAATATTTCGACTCTCAGCGGCTTTCGTTTTCCTCGTGGCGCATTGCGAACAATAAATTGTTCGAAGAGCGGCTGCTGATAAATTGGCCCCTCGCGCGCCACGTTTTACAAGCAGGTGCACTCCTGAAATTCGTTTTTCCGTTATTCTAGCGCGTAATTATCGCTTTTACAACGTGCAAAGAGAGCGTGCGGTGCATTTATTTTCTTTTACCAAAAGCACTTGATTCTTACAAAACGCCAATTTCGGACAATGGGCATTTCAAAAAGCAGGAAAACACGGCGTTTTATTGCTCTTTCAGCTAATTGTTTTACACTCGAATGAAAGAGTCTGGTTTCTTTCTCTTTGATAATTTGTGTAAAGGCGCGATGACAGGGTCCAGAGCAATAAAAATTGTAACGACGCAGGTGGCCCGGGTCGAGTGGTAAGAAATTCGGGCGAGGTCTTTCTTTTATTATGCATTGATCCGGGCGTTGAACCCAAACTTTTGGCAACTAATCTATGTTATTATTGAGTAGCCGCTACCATTGTCTATTTCCTATCTATCGGACTATTTAATGGCTTGATCCCCATTTGTTCCTAGAAGCTCGTGCGAAAGGGCCCGGCGCGTGCGTGCTCTATCATTAGCATCCATTCTTCCCACAGGGTCAGCTCGAGATTGGAATCTGATGCTCATTAAATTTGTAATGGTTTAATTGCTTAGAGGTGTTTTTGAAATATTCAATAACCTCTACCGCAGGATTATAGATCAATATAGACTGTTATTCATCTTTCATAATTATTATGAACTAAAACACTAAATTAGTTATTGTTAGGATTAGTTAAAATTAAGAACAATCGTTTATTCATTTCAATATTATTGCCTTGTTTATTTATAAGTTAAAAAAAGGTTTCTTATAATACAAAAATAAAATGAAAATTGTAGATTATAAATTAATTACATTAAGCTATAATATTTTAATAATTAAACACAACACAAAATTAATTTTTTTAAATGGAATAAATATTAATCAAATCTATAAATTCGCTCACCGTTTGTGAGTATTATTTTGAGCAAAGCTCTTATGGAGTATAGGGTATAGGTATTAAATTGTGAAATTGTGATTGTTATAATGATTGAGACTGGTTGCAGCTTATTAATTATTATTTTAATCTCAATTATACTTATGGTATTATGAATTGAATCAATACGATTTAGTATTTTGGTATAGAAGCAAAGAAAACTATATCTTTTTGATTTTTTGCATTGACCACAAGCTTTCAAAATAAATAAAGTCATGATTATTTGTACAAAAGCGAAAAATTTATTTTTGATATTGCTTAATATCATCAAATTTGTATTTTCTGCGGCTGATAATATCCACATCAATTTATTGTACCGTAATTTGAATCAGGTGCGCAAACAATTAAGGGAAGTACCGTGGAATCGAAATATGCTTGCAATCCGTGGTGAAAAGTAATTTTGTTGAGAGGGTCCTTCCAAGAAGTCAATTTTCTGGTGACCGCCAGCGCAAAATTGCAAATTTAATAAAATATAAACCAACCAGCTGGCATGATAAAATCTTCAAAATCTGCGTCTCGGCATTGAGTTAAGCAATTTCGATCGGAAATGCCGCGTAAATTGCGGTAAATAACTGGAAATGGTCAGTGCATTTGCCTCTGAAAGATTATTGACCATCATTAAAGTAAGAGGGAGAGAAAATAACGAGTGCCCAAGAGAGTGGTTGTTGTTGTTATTATTTTCACATAAACGTACATTGCAATCGCTTAAGGAAGAGCGATTTTCCTCTTCTCGTCAAGGTCGCACAAGGCTGTTCCCAATAAAAGATCTCGCGCCCAAGTTAATTACCCGAGTCATGCAACACTGCATTCCGATCAAACAATGCAATAAAAATCCAAAACACCGCGAGCGGAAAACCTTTTAAACAATAAAATGCACTTTACAGACACAAGTTTCTTTGGTTCGAACTGCGAGGCGCTTCTTTTGATGAACGTTAATTATTTAATTATTCATGTTGCTCAACGATAAGAGCAAAAAACAATTTCGCCGACGAATACAGAAAGAAACAGCCTGCAGGCTGATTTGCAATTGAAAGGAAACTGCCAGTGAGCATAAAATTGCACAAGAAACCAGTTTCCTGAATAAGTTGTTTTATTAATAAAAAGCGAATTGAAAATTAATTTAATTGCACTCATGCTTCATTCATGAGGAAACATGTACAAAATTTCACCTTGCGCAAGACAAGATAAATCTCAACCAATCTTATTATAACTTGCTCAATCGTCAGACGCCAGTTTAATGAAGTTAATAACTGAGGGAAAAAAACGCAAATATTTTACGTATAATGTTAAGTAAAATCTTTCTCTGTAATATTTTTTAAAGAACTTGCAGCGAAGATAAATGTCGAATAAAAACTCCAAGTTATTAAACTCTGGAGAATTCCATTTTAACATCAGCAAAAAAGTTAAGAGAAACTTGAGAAGCAAAAGGCCTGAGCTGTATAGTGATGTCACTATTCGCATGCATGCTTTTTTAACCCTTTCTTGTTCACTCTCTCAAATTAAAAAAGGGCGTTATAAGGAGAGGTGCTGGAGGTGCTGCGCAAAGTGATGTTTTGCGTGCGGAGAAATTGTCAAAAATAATTGTGACCGTGTAAAATTTAGTTGTTTAGACTGCAGAATCAGTCAGGTAAATAACAAGGAGGCGTAAATTCTTCAAACTATAATCAACAAAACGGATCTTTGCGCACCGAAAAACGCAATTATCGCCGTAGCACGCAAGCAAGGGCTGCGTTTACTTGTCAAAAGCGATTTGCGATGATAAATTTATTAGTAAGAGCCTTTCGCACGCCATCAACAGGCGAGGTCGGCGTTCGTTTAAGAACTCATTACTGTGTAATATTATAAATAATTTCTACTATTTTATTAATTTAACTAATACAAAAATTATCATTTCGAATATCATATAATTGCTTCATATTTCAATAAAAAAAAAATATCCTTCAGCAAAATTTTCTATCAATAGTACAGAAGAAAGACGTGCATTTTGCCTTCTTTTTTTAGCTCTGTTCCTCTGATGATCCACTTTTGCGCGTCAACATTTTGTTTTCTTAATAGCAAGTAGTGACAAAAAGGAAGGCGTCTCTTCACTTCTTCACTGAAATAATATGCGTATAGAGCCTTTTTCTATGTGGACCGCGGGCCAAATAAATTCCGTTATTTAATCCTGCCTCTCATGCAACTTTTTTGCAAACTAATCTCTCCATTAAGGAAGCCGTGGAATGCAATCGAAGCTCAATTATCGCAAAAATAGTCTCGGAGGAGCTCCTCCTGAATCACGAGTTGGCTCGTCTGCGACCCTTGACCCGCTCGTCGTGTCCTCGCAGGGAAACGACGCGTCGTGCCTTTGCATCTTTTCTTATGCTCAAGTTCAAGTCGGCATATTGCGGCAGCAGGTATGTAAAAAGGTACTCTACCGGAGGGCTTTCGTAGCGGACTCCCGAGAGCTCCTCCTACCGCTCTCTCCGAGGTGTGTGTACGAAATTAATAATTCATCAGCAGCTGCCTTTATTTGTGCACTCTGGCAGAATGAATAGAAAAATGAGGAGGAAATAATAAGGAAATGGGCCCTCGAGACGGGCAGCACAGTTATGACTGGAGCTGTGTTTTCGTATCTCTCTCTCTTCGGGATTTAATTTCTTGAATTTCTGGTGCCTCGCTAATTGGAAGTTTTTCGCACTGGCGCTTGGCAGGAAAATTAATTTGGATGCTGGTGCTCGCAGCCTGAATTCCATTAATTCAATTCCATCAACACTAGAATAAATCTTTGGTGGAGGTCAAATATTTTTTTATATTTAATACTAAAAAAAAAATTTAAGCTAATTTTATTGTCTTATTGTTGGAAAGATTTATCATGATTTTAAATTTATTTAAATTTATTTTTATTATTAATTGTTTTATAATAATACGTCTATGATACAAAAAATATTCGTCAAAGGATTTGAACTTTCTGTATTTTATTTTGTTTCCAATTAAACTTTTTTATTAATTATTTAGCACCCATTTCCCACAAGATTTTATTTAACTTGATTTAAATATTTAATTCCATATTTGAAAAAATTATGATGCAATTGATTGAAATCTATGATTGTGAAAGTTTTTATTTTCAAATTTAATAAGACCCTATAATCATTCAAAATCTCTTCACTCATCACCGAAGATGAGAAGTCTGTTGTCGGCGTCTGTTATGAGGTTACGACCAAATACAAAAACGCGATGCTCAGGCGAACACAATGCTCACACGTCCAAAAAAGGGAATGCGTTTTAGAGGGCCCTTGCTAAAGACTGGTGCACACGACGAGAGGAAAAAGGTGCTAATCACCGCAGCAATTTTTCTCCTATTAGGTCTCCATCATCCGTAATTATTATCACTTGGAGTCCAGACGCTCGGAACATTTCTTTTGACTCATTTTTCAGTGTTTCCAGTTTTGAAGATAAAAAGTACCTCTGCTTTCGAGCTGTTTCCGCGTGTGTCTGGTCTGGGTCAGCGATTATTCTGATTGGATCAGAGCACACGTTACTCGCGCGATCGTAATCGCATTCTGCCTGCCACTCGCGTATTTACGGTGCCGCCTTGCAAAAAGGGTTCGAAATCGCCAATTTAAGATTTCACATGCCTCAGACCGTATGTCTACTGAGCTAATAACAAAGTGTAACCGACTGCAAGAGAGTTTTATCGCTGCACCATCATTATTTCCAGCGAGGAGGGACGCCGAAAAAATCACCCGCTGCTGGATTTAGCGTAACACACAATTGCAGTACCTGGTAAGTGATAACGTAACGTGGCAGGTGCTGAATTGAATTGAAATTAAAAAAGTGCTAACTGTACTCCTTGCTACTGCACAGGCCGGATTCGGAATTAACTGCGAAATTGCGCCAAATTCAATTATTTACCTTTTGAATTGAAATGATTTTCCAGCTGAAGCTACAAAAATTTAATTAAAATTTGTAAGTTCACATTTAATTTTTATTGTATTCAATACAATTAATAAACGTGTTCTACATTTATAGCTTTCATATCCTGGCTTGACGATGGTTATATTTTAAAAGTACAAAATATGAATTGTGAAAGATGAAAAAGTTAAATAATTAATAAAACATCGAGTTACGTGTCACGAAAAGTTGAAGCCAAGCAAACCTCACCTTGAAGAAATCTTTAATAAAAAGTAAATATAAATTAGTTTAATATCAACTAATTTTAGTATATTCTTTTCGTCATTATTAACGTCTCTGATCACCTATTTCTCAGGCATTTTAGTTTCAATAATTAAATTGTCTCATTTTCACACGTACAATTTTTTTTAAAGGCATGCAATCCTTTAATTATTGACCTTTGCATTACTTCTTGCAGATCATTATATGCTCCACATCTCTCACAACATTATGATCCTTCACATCGTGGCTTCCCAGAGTGCAATTTAATTATAATTATCCTGATAATTCATCTTCGCAGTGAACGTGAAACCAGTTACTTATATCTTTAAGCAAGTCAACGGTCGGAATGCAAAACGAACCGCTTCATCAATTTTTCAAAATCTGCCTACCATGCTGCTGCGCACACGGTTGAAAAGGCAGCCAGAGGCCAAAGGGTTAATAGATCAGGGAATATTAACGACGTTCACACGTTTGTTTTAACAATGTGAACCGACATCAGTTCAAAAGATGTTACAAAAAAGTTAATTAATTCTAGAAACTTTTTGAAAAATATATTCAATACAATCTTCACGTTAAAAATTATAAATCTAATTAAAACAAAATAATTTAACTAATGTATATCAAAATCACAGAAGAGAAATTTATAGCTGTATTTTATAAATTGTATGTAAGAATTATAATACATATTTCTCTGCATCAACGTTGAGATACATATTATTATATTTTGGCTACTTTAATTAAATGCTTCATATAAACAAAGTGCTTTTAAAATTACTTGTATATCAAAATAATTTGTTGTGAGATGAACATTTTTTGAAATTCTATGAGCATAATATGTATGAAATTATGAAAGACCTAATGGTAAGAAAAATCCCAATTTTACCTTCCCATCTGCAAGATCGAGAGAGACTCCTCAATCACAATGTCAACAGTCAACAATTGTGGACCTGTGGTGCTTGTACAGGTTGAATGGCCAGAATAAAGCAATACAAATTGAGCTGCGCCTGCAAACGAGTTGACGCTTACTGCGAGGAGCATATTTTTTCGAGCCCACTGAAACGCAGCAAGCTTTTATGAATATTTGCGAGCAGCATTCTTGCGTCTTGTCTCTTTATCCTCAACGAGACTGCGTGTTAAAAGGCGGAGGCCAGTTTTTATTATTGGCTTTTTTATTCGCAGACACGGGTCGCAGCATGTTTGTTTTTAATTGAGGCACGACGCCACCTGAATAATAAACGCGAAAAAATCCCGTATGAAGTACAAGAATATATGTATATATGCATGACTTGTGGGACCACTTGAGAGGAACCCTATCGGAAGATTCGATCATTGTGTGGCAGAATTTGGCAGATGCCAATTAACCTTTAACACAAACAACGCAACCTCTTCGTTATTGGGGTCTGACAGGCTGCATGGGAACGAGATGGGAGGAAAAATCAAGGCTTGACCTGGGAAGGTCACGGGAAATGGCTAATTATCATCGCACGCCACTCATTAATTATTGGTTTGTAAATTTATCACTCAATCTAAAAAACTAATAGACGAATTTCCTGTTAAAGATCTTTTAAATTTTATTTTATTTAAAAAAGAAACTTTGAATTAAATCGAGACAAGTGACCTTCTTCTTCACTTGGAAATCATTTGTTCGTGTTCTCGGTTGATGCCAATTTTTAGGAATTTTCCGGTCCACGTGCAAAAAAGCAAAAGTGGCCTCGGCGGGCGAAGATGCACTGCTTTTCGTCTTGGGAGGTTTTGCTGATTTCCTTCTCGATTTCTGCAGTAGCCGCGGTAATCCACCGTGAGGTCGGCGGCAGCAAATCTCATTATTCGCTAGTCAGTCTCTCTTGGCAAAACTCCACTGGGAAATTAAAATGCTGTCCGCTTTTTGCACCACTCCTTTGCACTTGAAATAATCAGCGCGACCTATTCTTCTCGTGCGCCCCTTAAACGATTCGCGCACTCGCTTTTTGCAGGGCTACTCACAATCAGTACAGAGACGCGCCGAAAAAGGCTTGCGCTTTTTTCCGCCTTCGGCCCTCCGCGGGGTCCAATTATGATACATTTTTACAGTTTGTGTCGCGATATTGCGAACAAATTTGCAGTTGCAGAACCAGTTTTTGCGACGCGCCACTACTGCGAAATTAGACGAGGCCAAACACACAACGGTTGGACCTTTTCTCGGAGAGGAGCGGGTCGAGTCAAGTGTGGATTATTTATGGTAACGGGTGTCCATTTCGCGTGTTTTGGGGCATAATTTGCCTTAACATAGACATAGTAGTTGGCCCAGCCTATTATGCCTATGCGAGCATCTACGTCGTAAAAATGAGAAAATAAGGATGTGATTTTCAAGTGTCAATAAATATGTTCCCAATGTCCTGATTTGGCTGAGCATAAACAAATGTAGACTAAATTTCGCATTTATCTATGAAATTATAATAAAAAAATTGACAGAAATTAAATTTTAAGATGGGAGAGAAGTAAATAATTATTACTGCATAAATTTACATACATATTAATGGTTTTGTGAGCAATGAACTACTCAGTTATTAATTTAGATCAGCAATTATAATTAGCAGGATTTCTATAATATTTTATTCTACACAGACAGAACACCAGCTGTAATAAAGATAACTATTATTAAATAAAAAATATAACTCTAGAGAAACTTGTTCAAAATTAATATTTGATGACCAACAATATGTAGATTTGGTGTAAATGCAGCAAAATTTCCTATTAATACTTATTAATTTCAATAATTTATGCTAATTTAAGCGTAAAAATAGACTGCATTAAACAAGAATAAATTTTAAATAAAGTTTCAAGAGAAGAGACTGAATAGAGTAAATCAGAACCAGGCAAAATCAATGATAAAAAAAGGATGCATTTATATAGATTGAGGTTTGGCTGAATGGCATCGTGACCTCCTCGTCCGTCCATCTCTCCGAATTTAAATCCGCTGTTTGTCTGCGGAATCAATGCATTCGTTCTAGGAATTCGGCTGGTAGCGAAAATGAGGCCGAGCACCATAATTGCATATCGCGGCGTCCGTCCACTGGCCGGTCATCTTCTATCTACCCATCTGGCGGCCTTGCCATTCTAATTCCACAGGCACAAGCAGCGGGGCCAGTGACTCTCGGCAGTCCGAAATGATCATCATTCAAATGTACCCTGGGGTGTCGGCGATACCTTTCCTCCTCAGCACAGAAGCACACGAAAGAAAGAAACAATGAGCGAGAAAAGTATAGTCGAATGAAGCATTACGCCGAAATTGTTGCTCTCGCCAGCAAACCGCTATTTTCTCTTTTCCCGGACGGCGCGCAATAATTTGGACGGAATTCCACGCAGATTGCCAAATAATTGCATCTGAAGGACGTGCTTTCGATGAAGGAAAAAGGAAAATGACCTTGCCGAGAGATCGATCTGAAAATTTCGCCTCAAGACGAGTGAAAAATAAACGCTATTTAGCTTTTTTATCCGACCTTGTTGTTTTGATATGATTAAATTTTTTTCTTCGTACTCGGTATTTTCTGAGGAAGATAAGCGAAGGAAATGCGCTGTTTGTTTGCATTTTATCTTCATTTGCATTGATTTGCATAATTAGTCTTACTTTGTTAGTTTCAGATCAACTCGAGCATTTGCATATTTCCTAAGAGCGTCTGATGCTTATCAGAATTGGCGTTTTTTCTGCAACAAGGCGTGCACACCATAGGAATTACGACTGCTTTTGAGTGACTAATCGCAAGGCAGAGAGCGGTATTTGTGTACGCTTGGAAACCCAGCAGCAACATAAAATATAAGCGTAATATTCCCGAGCATAAAACCGAATTCTCACTTTTACAGCTCGGTTTCCGGTCAAGTATGCGAATTTTAAAATTAAAATGCGTGTTTCGGATTTTTTATTGCTGAAAATGGTTTGCATGTGCAGTTACAACAGTATTTTATTGGTGTATATCTTCAGCTTTTTGCACGATTATGAAACAAAATCAGCAGTTTAATAGCAAAATGCAAGTGTTAAAATTAATTTAATAAAAAAAAATACTTTTTAAGTTTAATAATTGAAAACATTGTGAATATCAAATTTGTACTAACATCAAAATAACATCATTAAAATTTGTCAAAAATTTTAATCAATTTTAATTATTATCATGTTTTTAATATTTTATTATTATAATCAATAATTGCTACATTATAAAACAATAATACATGTGGAGGATGAATTTTAAAAATATATTAAAACTTTTCATTCATACACTTTTCTTCACCGTGTCTGACAAACGACAGATAATTTTTTCTGCTGCACTAATATTATCGTTGATTACTAATTATTAAAAAATTTAACTACTGAATATATGAACGTGTATTAAAATAAATTCTAATTTTTTCGTTTCTACATTTCTGATAGTGATATTAAATAACCAAATTGTAATGGTTCCTTTTAATTGTCACTGCCGTCTTGAAATAAATTGCATTCTTTTGAATTCAAAGCAGGCGCCTCCTGTTAATTAGTTTGATGTTTAGGGATAACTGTTCAAAATTAGGAAAGCAGTGGCCGATTTTTTAACAATTTAATTTCAGAAAGCCGCATGTGGCCGCTAGGGGCTTCCTGCAGAAGCAAAAAACCTATTAATTCTTGAGACAAGCGCGCAGACGGCACCGTTTCGGCGAGGTGCTTCCTTTTCAGATTTATTTCAATAATATTTCGCGCGGCATCAAACGTTGACGACTTAATACCTCCTTAGGCATACTCGTTATTCTCATAAAGACGTCTAATAAAGGGGATAATGACACGCCGGCTGCGTTTTAATAATGCGCGCTCCGACCCGTTATGAATAGAAAATAAAAATCGACGCGTGCAATAATGAATTATTTCCGTGCCGCGGCCGGCAGATTATTATTTCGGCCGGTGGCCGCAAATTACATTGTGCACGATTCGCGCCTCGGCTTTTTGCGCGGTGCGCGCCGATGGCGTGCATAATGAGCACCGTGTAATGCGCTTTTTGCCCGTGGCCCTTGAGCACCAAATTCGGGTAATCGCTTTTTGATTGAGTCAATCACTCGCGATTATTCTCCTCAATGGCCACTTCAAAGAAGCTCCGTAGGGAGCAAGGAGTTGAAATGAGCAACTGGTTTTTTTTTGCCAAAAGTAAAAAAGTTCTCTGCTGGGAATTAAGAGACAATTCAAAAATTATAAGCTGGCAAGAAAGTTCACTTATCAATCTTAATGCCATTATAAATTTCGATTGCTGGAATGCAAAAGGAATTCCGAGAAGATCGTTTCGCCATTTATTTCACAAAAAGCCAGAACGTGTTTTTTGAACATGCCCAAATCGGAATGTGCAGGAAGACAAGTGTAACTGTTTTGCAGCTTAAAATTTGCGCACGTTTCAACTGCTATTGTCTGTATTTGCCATTAAATCAATCTTTGGTAAATTTATTTATTGGATAATTCTGTAAATTCTTCATTATTTAAAAATTAAAATAAAAACTTGTTTTCTGCAAAAAACATCCATAAGTATAGACTTTCCTTAATGTATTCGCTAAATGTGAATTTATTATTTTAGTAAACAAAAGGAACCTCATTTAAAACGTAAAAACTGGAATAGCATATTTTCTTATTACATTAA